GAAGAGCGGGCGGGAGGTGAGAAAAATGTGGAAAAGTGGTAAAAGAACAAAGAGGATGAGCAGGGGAGAGGCCTGGAGGAAAAGAAGGCGGGACGATGGCGGAGGGAAAACACGAGGAGGAGAGGTCGGGGAGGAAAAAAGAAAAAGAAAATGTCGAGCAGCTTCTGGCGTCCAGAAATATATTTGGCTCGGGCCCGTTCTTCCGTTCGCAGCGCGCGACCGCTGCCGGAAAACTCAAAGCGCTTTACCTTCGTGGAATAATTAAATCGGCTCGCGGAGAGCGGCCGAGGAACCCTCCAGGGAATGGCAAAAGGGCCGTCACGACGCATCACGCGCGTCGCGGGCCGAACTCGGCGCAAAATTTACTCGACTTTCGACCTCGTCCACTCTGCCACGCTTCTCCCTCGCTTCGTTCGTTCTCTGCATTCCCTCTCTGTGTTCCTGGGCCTCCATTTTCTAGCCGCGTTACACCGTCCTACGAGATTGCATGGTCGTTGTAACGACTCGGTTGTTGCAACGAACAGTGAACCAGGTACGGCCATTTCGTCGGGACGATTCGAACACGTTCGTGGAATTACGAGCGAGAGTAGGTCCCGTGTTCCGAGGACGATTATGCCGATAAGTGTAACGTATAGGCTCCTGCGATGGTCGTCATTACCGTTTCTAAATTGTACGGTACGGCAGAGGCTTTTTTGCACAATGTTGCTGGCGATACAGCAGAATGATGACTTAATCGAGCTTTTCCCTTATACAGGATACTCGTTCCACGAGAACCGACGTTCTCCAGGCAGTCCCGCGGGTCGCAAGTACAAATTAAGCTAATTTATCACCGCGGCTAGGTCTGCAGGCAAGAAATCGCGAAGACACGACGAACGCTTCTGAAGGATAAACACGGATAGGAAGAATTTTGGACCGACGTGACGACACGGTCAGTGATGACGCGTGGAAATGGAAAACGCGGATAGAAGGAATTTTGGACCAACGCGATGACACGATGAACGCAGACGTCTCATCTCCATTGTCATAATTCAGCCATTTCGCTTAATCGTCACGTGGGAGTGGGAGACAGTCGGGCGAGGAGGATTCATTGAAATTACGGTCATAGGGGAGAGGGCAGGGGCACGAAGAGAGTCACGTCGAGTCGCGAATTAAATCTCATCATCGTCATCGAGGAGGAAGGTATAGCTTGACCCAGTGACACGAGCGCCGAGGGTATTGCTTGACCCCGTGGTCGAACAAAAACCAGCGAACAATAGGAAACTCGATGGCCTCCACGGGCTTGGATCTCTCGCAGGGTGGTCCTCTTTCGCGCCAAGAGAAATTCCCGGTCCCTCGTCCCCGCACTGCAGCCGACACGGTCCCCCCGTACCCTGTAAATCATACGTTTTCCGACCCAGAAATCGTGGCGAGGGACTCCCTAATTACAAGCAACAACGAACAACGCGCAAGTTACACGATTACCGGACTCGCTGAATTACGAGTGCCCCCGACTGACGCATATTCTCACGTTGATTTACGTAAGTAGCGTAAATTGCGTCGGTCCCGGCACGCGTTAGCCGGTACACGCCTACTCGGGCAATGAAACGTCGTGTTGTCGGTGAGGAATCGGTTTGGTGGACACGCTTGTTCGATCGTGACACCGGCCACGTGCGATTGGTCGATCGAGGGTAACCTAGGTTTCGGTACATTAACGACCCCTCCGGTCTCTCGGGCATAATTTCGCGTCTGAATCGCGGAGACGCGATTAGGGGTGGCGCGTGAGCGCCTGCAAAAGTGTATACATCAGATCACTATTATTACCGTGCCACGGTACACGCTATTCTTACAGTGGATGTCAAGGATGTCCACGTTCTAGAATTCTTTTATCGTTCCTGGCACTTCTTCGGGGGTATAAACTTAGGAATGTTGTGTCACCCCGTACATTCTATTGATCGATTCGTCTTCGTATCCGCTGTCGGGATGGATCTAGTGCAATCCGTAACTTTCTCGAATCCAACGATATATACCTGCCTAAAATAACCGGGATAGCGAGGGCCGGTGGAAAGCGTATCACGATCGCATGCCGAAGGCCAATATCTCATGCCAATCAGAATCGCGTTTGGATATCTTCCAGCTCGAAATAAGCCGGTATATCGTTCGTCAGAAAAATCCTACCCCCCGATCCTATCGTTTTACACATCGTCAACGGTGTTTGTACCCAAACGTCGATTAAAATTCGTCTTTATCATCGATCGAGCGTATCTGGAGGGTGTTACGTGCGGGACTCGTGGTCCGCAAGATCGACCATACGCCGTAGCGTCGGACTAGCCGAGGGGACAGAGTTGTCGCTGTAAAATCCTCTTTCCTGTCTCACCGCGGCTCAGTCGGCGTCGCGCGATCGAGCGACGCGTGTCGTCGGTGCACGCTCGTCCCGTCGAAAATTCCTTTCGTTCGTGATTTTAATCCCATCGAGCGTGTTAGCTTGTCCGGCGCGAGGCGTGGAATTTCGATGGCTCAGACCCCGACAGAGCGGATCTCGGAACTAGAATAGATCGGGGAGCACGTGGAAAAAAATTCGGTGGAGGACCCGGTGAGTTTGGGAGACACGCGGTGTTCCCGTGAGAATTCGGCACGATATCGGATGGAACACGATGCAAGAGGACTTGTTTCGCGAATTTTTCGCACGAGCTGTGTGACGGTGTGTGGCTGGAGCACGGATTTTAGAAAAGTGGACGTAGTACCTCGATGCCAACTTTATTTTTAAACCCTTTGAAAGCCGCAGTTGAATGGGAGACCCGCGTCACGGAGCAGAGATATTTTATTATATCTGAATGGAGGAAGCGGTCTCGCGCTTTGGGAAGGAAGATATCGAGAGATTCAAAGGAAGCAAACCTACGATGAAAAGGAGGATCACAGTGGAATTTCTTTTGTTCGTTTATTAATTAATCCGCTTTCCATTGTTCGTCCTACTCGATAAGCGTTTGGCTCGACAACTTCGAGTGTGCTTTCGAACGCAATCCGAGGTAACTCGATCGTTAAATTTCTTCTTCCGTTCCGTTCTAATCCCGTAGAGCTCCCTCCCCGCAGGAGCTAACGATCCCGTGCGATTTATATCCGTAGCGTTATAGGACGAGGTCCACGAAAGAGTTTGAGCGGTCGTACACCGAGGTTGTTCGCCAGGTTACAATTTTAGAAGCGGACAGATAGAAAGAAGGATCGTACGCCGCGAATATCGTGGGCCGGGATTCGACACAGACCGATTCACGGGTTCCCGCCCCGAATACGCGAGTTCGATTTCGCGTACGAGAGAATTCGCGGCCAGAAATACATTTGACCGTAAGTCAGCCGGTATATCTCTCTCGGTGTCGACGATCGACTCTGTTCGAGTATTGACTCGGGGCAACGCGTGACGGACACCTTTCCTACAATAGCAACGGGTCCCGGCCTAACACCTATCGGTGTCGCGTTAAAATATTCAACTCGCCATTACCGTCGGTTGCCATATCGTCGGGGTCTTTGAAATTCCTCGAATAATTCCGATCATTCGATTACCATCGCCACTCGGCTCACTTATTCCCGGAAATAGTCGATTGTCTCGGTACCTATCAGGTGTCATCCGATTCGATCCTCGCCTCCTAGATCCTGCCTTCGAATGCTCGCATCACGTCTAATATTACAGGACGAACCGAAATAAACTTTGCTCGAGTGCATACGGCAGTGCACGTACGCACACGAGGCGTATACCTATCGTTCTACACACTAGTGACTCGACGTGTACGTACACCGGCCACGATCTGCATGCAAAAGCAAAAGCGTCATGAACACACCGACGCTGGTCGCACACGATACGTCTCGCTTATTTGCAAATCTGCGACTGGTTGATCGGTATTATCGCGACTGGTGACGATGGGTCGACCAGAGATTGTTCCTCGGCTTCCGTTCGAATAATCGATTATTACAAACGAATCGAAGGTTACACGGGCTCGTCTGCTATTTCCATCCTGACAGTTGATTAACGAAGACGATACAGCGAAGCTGGAAAAACGCGTATGCCGTGTCGGGGAAATTTACGATCAGGAGAAGAATAGGTTTTTACGATTACTGACACTTGCGCTGGATTGTGCAACGCCGTTAAGAGAGGAAGACTTATTACCGAAGCGTCGTTCGTCATCGGTGCCCGTTTTAACCTGGTAACGATGGTAATCAGTCGGCCATCGCGTTTCCCTGACTCGTTATCGACGTAGTTTTTAATCGTAAACCGATCGCAGATGTCGAAAGACGTTCCCCTGTCAGTCCGTGTTATTCCAAGCATCCAGGCGAGCCAGAATACACAAAACTTTTAAGCGGTCCATCGACGAAGGCTTTCGACGTTGTCGAAACTCGAAAGACGTCGAACACTCGTCTCGGGAAAGTCGATTTACCGAAAAGTTTGCCTGATAAATTCGATGCTGCACCGTCTCTTGTCGACGTCGATAATCGTCTCGATCGGGTCCTCCCGTTTATCGGCGGAAGTCGATGGCTGACGGAAGTATCGGCTCGACCCGATGCCTGGATTGGCAGCGTCTAGAGATAATTTCGAGAGGACTCGGTCTTCGGCCAGATAATTAATATTCCGTCGCCTCAGAAATATTCCAAGAAAATCCCTAGATCGAATATTCGATGCTGCGCGAGCCTATGTACCCTAGTCTCGGCGAATTTCACTCTTCCTCGTGGACCATGACAATTAGATTCTCGAAATTTGACTCCGCAATGAGCCGCCTCCTCCAAAGTTTCTCTCGAGGAGCTCACGACTGATCCCGATTCCTCATTTCTGTCGCCTGAAAAAGTAATTTCATGGGCGAAGCAGGCAATAAAGAATTTAATATAGCGTCCGAGACCATGGACGGATGACGACGGTTGTTAAGCCTAAAAACTACTCGACCTCGCGACGAATTCTTGGGCGAAATTCTGCGACGGGAAGAGGGCCCCTGTGAGCGACTTTTCGACCGGCTATTTCGAGACCCGAAACGCGAACCCTCGTGGTGCTCGTTTTACATATTATCGCGATTCCATCTGCGTACGGAGGTTTTCGCGTTGACCGCGGGAACTGGAGGTTCGTGCAGCCTTGGAATTAAGTAAACCGTGCAGCGTCGTTCGCGTAACCGCGGCAATTTCTCTCCTTTGCATATTTGCCGTACGGCTATTTTGCGCGGGTGGATGTTTCGCGTTTCTTCCACCGAACTTACGCAATTTCCACGTTCAACTTTGACGTTTCGTCCGCGTAACCTTTCCCAGAAGCGTGCAGCTGCAATTTCCACGTCGATCGGGCCCCGGGTGGATCGAAGTAAAGAATTCACGAGGATCGCGAGTGCTCGATGCCGCGACACACAGGATTTTTATATTTTCTCGGATCGATTCCGGGATCCGGGATCCTTGAAATCCATTCTTCTCCTCTCTTTCGCGCGGTGCATTAAGGAACTATTTATAACGACACCCTTCTCTCCTCGGATTGTGAAACTGTCTGAACTAATTTCCTTCGCGATGAGATCGCCTTCGAGATCTTTATCCTTTCCACGCACTCGTTCCACTTTTCCCTGTCGAGTGATAAGCGGATCGGGGGTTCCCCGGAAACGCATCGGTGGTTCTCGTAAAACTCGTGGAAAATCTAAGGTGATCGATGCTTACAGAGTAATAACGTTTTCGCGAAATTTCGCGAAATTTCGCGACGTCGACCAAGTTATTAGCTTTGGCGAACTTCTGCTCCATCCTCTTAGGGTTCGTCGTGCAGGTGCCACCATTTAATTCCTCGAAGAATAACGATTCGAACGTCTTCCTCGTTACGTTGAATATTAAATATTAAAGTTTAATCCCTGTCAGTTTGCTTTGGTGGTTGTTCCACGGGATGGCAGAATTCGAAGGGCAGAAAAGGAGCGAGATTACTGCACAGACGCGGAAACCCGACGTTGCCTGCTGCCGATGGTTCCGATCACGGGATTGACACCGTTTACGGCGTATCGATATTGGCTCGGCCGCTATTTTTAGTGGGCCGTATCGTATTCTAACGATGCAAACCGCAAACGTGACCGAGTTATGCGACGCCGTGAGTCCCTTCTACGTAGAAACGGAGCGTGCAGCGCTACGTGACAAGCTGATACGCGGCCCATTACGATACAGACTTATCAGTCCGCGGTGTCGACGATCGGCCGATCGACGTTCGACTTTCCGTCGATCGGACGATCCACGTTCGACGATCCTCGGCTACCCAGGCCTTGTCCTGGAACCGTTCCAGGTACACGGGTTCGACGATCGGGCGAAATTTGTGGGTAAACTCGGCCGTTATCGGTACCCTCTCGCCGGATATCCGTCGACTATCGAATCGAAAATTCCCTTTCAGCGTGTAGACCTGTGGAAGCCTGCGATGTCCCCGGCGGATCTTTTGTACGAGCCAATCGCGGTGCGAAAAGAATTCGTGGCGCGACGCGTGGGTGGTCTCGGTCCGAGGGTGACGGGTTGCAAAGGGTGCCACGTTGATGACATGTCCTCGCAGTGGTAGCAGTAGGTGTATTCATGGTGCGATAGTTGGGTGTTGCAGAGAGAGAATTGTAAAACGACGAAAAGGTAGGTGGTGCCGTTATCAGAGAATAAAGTGATTCATAGATCGGTAGAAAATAACAAGGCTGTGCACAGGTTGTTGATTCACGTTCGCGAAACTGTGGGCAGCAACTCGGAAACCAGGTCGAGGGAAATATACTTTATTTTTATTGAACCGGTGCTGGTGGAAGTGCCGTGCCTAGAACGCGTACGCCACACGTTTCGAAACAACGTCGGACAATCCGATGGAGATTCGTTTTTGAAGGTTACATCATATTCCCGTAAAGAATTTATACTTTTTCGCGTTGCGTCACCTCTTATCCCTAGCGAGCGATATATTTAGAGTACCACGAGCATCGTCTACTACGAACTTGGGATTTAGCTAGACGGAAGTTGCAAGATATACCGCGACGATTACGAGACGTTCCTCGTCCACTTCTCCCGCCTATTTCCCCGACGAAATAGCTAAAAAAAGAAATTCGCCCGAACGTTTCCGCGTGGAGGCATCGCGAGGATCTTTTAGCGATCATTGACATTAGGAATATCGAGCGATCTCGAGAACCTCTCGCGCGCATTGCCAAACTCTTACGGCAAGCGTAACCCGCTGACGAGCTAGCACGGAGGTAGAATGCCAGGTACCAGGACACGTTGTCGTAGATCAGAGATGCACGAGCAAACTCCGACAGAAACGGTGCCTCCGTTAATTCGTTTGGCATACTGCAGGGACAGAGTGAAACGAGGGGACGCCAGGTTACATTGCTAGATTCCTCGACTAAAAAAAGACTCGGTCGATTATCGCGATGACGATTTAAATAACGATGCAGGAGTTAGCGGTGTTTACGTTGACAACAACGTCATTGTCGCGGGAAGATACTTATCTCGCGCGATCTTATCTGGTCAGCTGATCTAATCCGTATCGTAATCCATGAGCAGAACAAAGATCCAGACGCGTGGAAAGTTGAGGAGCACGTGACGGAGATACGACGGAAAAGGCAGACGAGCCTAGCGAAAGAGTAGATCACCATGAACGGAACTAGAAAGCACGAATCCTTTCTGGGACGATGATTTACGTAAAGGCATAGAAATTAGAATAATCTTGGCGGTGGCTCTCCTTGTTCCCGCGAAGTCTGTGACAGCGGGACACGGGTAGAATGCGGGATATGTTAGGCATCATTGTCAGCGAGTTGCCAAACGCGCGACGGCCAGTCGGAGACAAAGAAAGCTCCGCTTTGGGAATACAAATTTCCCCTTGCTGGTTAAGGGGACGCGGAAAGGCGGAAAGGGGCGTAGAGGGGAGGAAAAACGTGAGGAACGTGTAACGTGCGCGGCTTCCAACGATTCGAGCACGATCGAAGCCGTGCACGCACGCCTGGTCACGGCCCGTACGCACGCATTTGCATACGCGTAGCAATGCAGGGTGAAAGTACCGATACCGTGTCGCGATCTAGCTTGAACAAAGCCTTGTAAACGTTTCACGTCCTTCTCGAGGCATTAGGGAAGCCTAGATCGAGTAATTGTTGCAAAATTTGGGAGAAGGTTGTAGTCGTGGAAGACGCGTATATAGGTTAGGTTCATAGTCGTAAGTCGAATACGCGATGTTAACTATTATGACGTCGTTTAGACGCATATGGGATATTTTGCGAGCTTTAACGGGGACTGGCACGAAATCGAGGTGCACTTTCTACGATCCTGACGACGTTTCTGGGTCCTCGTGTCGAAGTATGTCTATTTTCTTTCCTAATCGACCTCCTGACCCAGCTACGTTTCCCGTAACAATTATCGGTGTGATTAGTTTCATTGAGCGAGATTTTAAGTAAAATTAATCGATGGACGAACGTTGGTGGACGGAGTACACGCGATAAATCATTTCTAATTGCGTATAGCGCGTAGGAGACAAAGGGTGAGATTTATAGGACGCGATCTCCTGTGTTGCACGCCACATCGTAGCATGCGTATCATATCCGAAAATACATTCACCTCGGATCGGCCGGGATAAATACTAATTTATATTTATCTTCTCTCAGATCATTCTGTCCGTGGTACAGCGAGGAACGCGAAGATGTAGCTCGATCAGCCGCCATCAACCGCGTGACCATCAAGAATCGAATGCCACCGCAGTAACAGTGGACATACTTGGTCTATAATTAAACTATATAATGCTGACAGTGTACCCTAGCGCGAATTCGCTATCGCGTACCAGTTGAACACCTGAGCGAGAACCTCCCGTTCGTCTGTCGTTCGATGCCTGCCAAAAGGACAGTCGACTGAACGTCTAAACGTGGGGGGCAGGTTATCGGTGTAAAAGAGAAAGAGAAAAAGAGGGAATCGAATAATGGGGGGACACACGGAGAGCGCGAGGATCGCGTGGACAGTGGCTCGACTTCCGTCGTGGCCGTGGAGAACGAGATTCTTGGGCCAGCTGGCCTGAGATATGCCAGCAGCAGCAGGCTCGGTGATCACGGAAGCATCCTCAACGATATCGTCGTCATCGCCATCATCGTCATCGAGGCTCAGAACGGAAACGGCGGCGTCGAGGTCTGGGGGTGTCGCTGGCCGACAGCTGGCGATAGAAATCGAGACGATCGAGCGCCGGGTCTGCGCGACCCGACGCGACCTCTTCGTCCCCGTGACCGTGGATCCACGGCCCAGCCGGGCCGTCCACTGTCCGGACTTAAACGCCTGTCTGGTGAACGAGACCCGATCCGGCCTGGACCAGGTCGACTGTCAGGCGATTCACTTTGGATACGCGATCCCGGTGAACGTGGTACCCCTCGAGACCGATCCACGGCTCGCCGAGCTTGTCTTGGACCACTCGACCGAGTTAAGCAGACGCGCCGCGAGCTTCTTGCTTGAGCACCATCCCCAGCTGCGTCAGCAACGGCAGACACAGCAGGAACGCTGCTCAAGCATGGCAGCCACCGCGAAGCACGACCTTCATCAGAAGTTCCCAACGGACACCTCGACGTCCGGTGACGAGGACATCGCAGCGATCGCGAAACAGATCAGCGACCACGCGGAGGCGATTTATCAGACATGGAAGAGTCGTGGATTGGCTCCTACCGAGATCTTGAACTGTCATAGCAATGCTACGGCAGCGGACAAGTTTGGAAGTGCCCTTACGCCAACTTCCACGTCGAACAGTGCTAGCAGCAACGGAAAAGGTAGTCCGACCAATGCTACCGCTGCCACAGCGGTGGATATCTTGAGCCAAACGCCGAACCTGGATAACGGGAATTTGGAGAAGCTCGTGAACAATTTCGTAGTGGAGGATAAGGCTAGGATAGCCGCGTCGAGGCAGAGATCGCCGTCGAAGACTCTGCCTTCGTCGATTCAATTCGCGTTGGAAAAGTTCGAGAAGAACTCGATGCAGCAGCAACAGCAGCCGCAGACGTCTCCCCTGAAGAATAGCAACGTCGGTAGTCAAGTAAAGACGAAGCAGGGGACCGTGTTGCTGTCTCCGACGTCCCCCTTCGCGAACAAACCTTCGCAGATAGTGAAGCCTCAGGTGTCCACAAAGACTCCCGGTGCTCACCATCGGGAAGTATTTCTGGAGACCATAGAGACCACTTTCCCGGCGGATATAACGCCATCGAAGATCGTCGTGCAACAAAAGAGGCCAGCGAGTACGGTGATTACCTCCCCTACCGCTCCGAATCTCGACGATCCTTCGACGAATTCGGGGCTCACCACGTGGCCACTGAAAAATAAGTTGAACGACAGTAAAAGAGTGACAGACCCTTCCAGATCCGCTCAGCAGG